GGAAAAAAAAACTACGTATACCCACTACTACTTACGTTAGATAAAGTTAATAAATAGAGCAATATCGAAGCCCTTTAGCGCCTACTAACCCCTACCCTACCCTCCCTACCCTCCCCTACCCCCTCCCCTACCCCCCCCCTCCCCTCCCTTCCCTCCCCTCCCTCCCCCTTCCCCCTCCCCTCCCCCCTCCCCCTCCCCCTCCCTCCCCTGATCTAAACTCTTCATCAAAGAAAAAACCAATTCTAAACTCTTCATCAAAGAAAAAACCAATTCAACCCCCTATGGCACCGTATTGACCTCCAAGCACATCAATAACTATCACCTATCAACTCACCTCAGTTTGGGATTCTCATAATCAAGGGAAAACTACATCCTACTTATCAATGTATGTAAGTGCAGCAATCCATGTAAGGCTCCGAGCATTTTCAGTTCGTGGTGGTGTGTGGGTGCTACAGAGACTAGGGGACCAATTCTATGGCCTGTAACTTCATGATGCAAACACGAATTTCAACACGAAAGAGTAAAGATACTTTAAGGATAGCATTTTAGGGGACAACGGATTATTAGAATTAAAACTCTAAAGGACCATATGATCTCATTTACATTTACTATTTACATAAAACTAGTAGCACCATCAGTTATATTGATAGAACCATGCCAAATTCATAGAATTTCAGCATGAAAGGCAATAAGAGACAGATAGGCCTAGTAAAAACTGAAAGGAACACGTTACAGATGAAAGACCAAAGAAACCACAATTCATCAAGGATTACCTTTGAAATATGTGTACCGAGGCTTCTGTGCACACCACAGCATTTTAAGCATATGAAGACACCAATATTTGCTGACCTAAAAATGCATTAGCATCAACATTGGTTAAAACTCTTATGAAGTGACACATCAAAGTAATAATACAGAAAAGGTACCACATGATGGCATGATCCACATCCAATGCAGAAAAAGTAGAAAATTGATTGGATTATATAATTCCTTAAATATATGGAGATTCAAAAACTTGAAAGTCAGCTTAGTCAAGCAGTCAACACTATTCTACTACTACCACTACTACTATAATCATCGTCGTCATCATCATCATCATCATCAGAAAGTAATAAATATACCATTATTATTACAGTGTTAAAAATCATATTAGCCTTTATTAATCCACCAAAATGAACTTCTTAAAGTTCAATAAGGCCAATAGAAGTTAGGAAAACAGTTAACAAAAAAATAAAAAATAAATATGATATAAGTTGATTTGCAGAATCTCCAATAAGAAAAAAAAATCATAAGCAGGAAGTAGCATTTACTATGTTTGATGGAACAGAGGACAAAACATAGACACAACCTTCTCGAATAAACTATTTTTTATTGTTATCATTATGTTTAGCAACTGGTCCAAGCTTAGTTAAGGGAAAGAGCGAGAAGCCTCAAGCTGATTAATCTAAAAAAGCTGCAGTGAAGAGGTGTGTACACTTACGCCCATTTGGGTTCAGGAGCACCACAATCAGCACACGTGCGATTATCGTCTTTAAGCAATAGCTCCTTCAATCTCCTCAACTTACCTGTTAATCATGTAATTCAATATATGGAAAGAAGAAAAGCACATGTTATCCAACAAAAAAAAACCAATCTCGCCCCCGGATCAAAAAATAAATGGTAACCAGGCATCTGATACTCCAACAAAAATTTGGGCATAATTTTATAGAAAATCCACATTTAAGATCATAAACATCAACTTAGCAAAAAAAGACTAACAAAAGGTAGATGGTGCAAGAAGGGACACACAAAATAGAACCAGAGCCAAAAAAATGAAGTATGTTTTCAAGCAGGGTAAATGCAATAGGACATTCCAGCACTAAAGTTTCAAAATTTCAAACAACATGCATGAAAGACCATATCCATGATCGACATCTAATGCATGCTGTCCATGTCTGTTCCTTATTTCCTTATCGATGCTTAATGACGTCATTTACTCTAGTTCTCACTAGGAGGTAATTTATAACCAGCAAACAAATTTATCAAGATTTCTAGGTGGTTATTGCCACTCAAGTTATTTTTTATCTTCTCTATTGGCATCCCACCTTTCATTCAGACAACAGCATAGGTCAGGAACCAAATTCTAGTCATATGAAGCACTTCTTCTTAACCACCACCAATCCCTAACTGATCTTAAATGTCAAGAATACCAAATTTTCAGACAGATCAGAATATCCAATAAGCATTAAGTAGGTATGAAGCCATCAAGCAACAAAGAGAAATAAAGAAATCCAATAAAAGAAAGAACACCTTGTACATGAATTGATCGGGTCAATGAAATTGGTCATTTATCAAAGTCAACTTTGAATTTCCAAACTCTGAGTAAACATAGAAATTAATCAACAACATAAATCAAACTAAATAAGAACTATATTATTATAAATATAGAAAATTTGTGCTGCAACTTACAGGATGCAAATTGAATCCAACAACATAATGAGAAACAAACACTATTATATACATAAAGAAAGGATGTGTCATGACATAACCAATGCAAATCAAATCGAAAAATATATGCATCATACATATACAATACTGGATACCTGGGGAAGCTTTCCCAGAGTCATATCCGTGAGAACTCATTGTTGCAGGCATAAAATGCAATCACCCAAAACAAGCCATTGCCACCTAGCCTTGAACCAGTAAAGAAATTAATAAGCAAAACCAAAAGTATCAGTGTTCAACAAAAAATTAATGGGCTATCAAAGAACTGTTAGCAAGAGCTTGAACATGTTGAACATTCCAAAAAGAAAGAACTACCCCTAATTATAGAAGGACCCGGTTTCTATGCGGCCAAGCCCGCATATGTAGAAATGCGGGCCTCTTAATAAATCTATTTTTTAGATGGATTTTAAGACTTAATTTTTAAAGACTAAAAATAAACAAATAAATAAATTTTTAAAACTAAAAATAATAATTCTAGTAAGAAAACACTTGGACAGTTAGTTTCCATTGTTTTTAGATGGAACATCTACTTGCATCCATCTTTAAAATGGATGCTCTACACGTTCTGGACCGTATATGTAGTAATGAGGTCCAGCCCGAATGAAGCAATTTTCCATTATCGAAACAGCAGAAATTGTGTGGAACTATGAATGAGACGAAACCCGCTACAACCATCCTAAATTCCAAACACTTTCCAATATGACTTGGAGACATATAGTCACAAAATAAAACAAATTTATGCCTATGCTACAACAAATAAATGCAATAAGAACAGTTGCATTAAGAAAAAACTTCACAAGAAAAAAATTACAGCTACAAAAGTCTGTGTATAGCCTCATCTTAGCAAACAAAAACGCATGGGAATCAAAATCTTAAACTCACAAAAGTCCATCTTTAATATGAAAAATGAATTGAAACCATATGAGCACATTTTACTAATCAAACCAAAAGGTGTAAAAAAATCAGTTTCTACTACGTAAAATTAACAGTCTAACTAAACAGTACCCCTCACGAAAATAGATGTTTGAAACCTGTGTTTTGTGGCATGGAACCAAAATTACATAAACAAAATGGAAGACATCAAGCAAATAAACTAAATATAACAAAGCATACAAAAATATACAAACCTGTGTTTTGTGGCATGGAACCAAAATTACATAAACAAAACGGAAGACATCAAGCAAATAAACTAAATATAACAAAGCATACAAAAAAACAAAATCCTACGAATCATATCCAGAAACCATATATCTGGATACAAAGGCTACAAACTTAAATTAAGAAAACAAAGCCATAGAAATATCCATGAAAAAGTTCCCAAAAACAACACCCAAAAACCTTGAACCTACCCAAAATAGAAAAAACCATGGGGACCAAAACTAGCAGAATGAAACCCAAGAACCCTAACATACAACTCTCTAAACCAAAAGCCAGAGCCAAACACCAAAAAATGGGTCAAATCAGAATCTGAGAAGCACATTTGAAAGCTACGGATCCAAAAATTCAAATGAAACGAGGATTGCTCGGCTAACTTAAGAGGCGATCCCAAAAATAATTAAAAAAAATAGGGATTTTCCATTACCTGGAACTAGAAGTTCCGAGGAATCAAGGGAGGATCCCAAATAAAATGTGGAATGACATAGGGCTTGGTGAAATGGGCACTTTATAGGTTACTTTATACTGACATAATATCTAGAGTGTCCCTCCAATCTTAAGATATCTCCATAGGCAGTAAATTACCACAAAATTTTCCTTCTATTTTCGAATTTTTAAAGTAGAACGATGTATTTTATGTTTTATTCTTAAGTTTCATCTTATATTTGTCGGATTGTCTACAAATTTTGTACATCAAAGTCCTAATTATTATTGTCCCTTAAATTTCAAAATGGTGATACGTACAGTGTAATTGAATAAATACAAAGTTCTAAAATAAAATTTTTTTGACGTCGTGACTCACGTAAGCCATCCTATTTGACATTTAATGAGTGGGAATGATTATGACCTTTATGTATAAAAGATAAATGGTCTCTTTATAGACAATTCCTTTATATATGGGTGCGGTTTGTATAGAACCTAGGCTCTAAATGATCAAATTAAAGCTTAAATCCCTTTATATATGGGTGCGATTTGTATAAAGCCTAGGCTCTAAACAATCAAATTAGAGCCTACCTTCAAATAGTATCGAGAAATGTGGTTTCAATAATGGAAATATTTGTAATAGTCTTAAAATATATTTTCATATTTATTTAGAAAGTTTACAGCTTCAAAGATAGTGTAGATCGACATATCTATGAAAACTTGAAAATAGACGGTCCAAAACTTGAAATCCATCTTTTTCTCATGTCTATGCATCCTGATGTCGAGATGATCAATTTGAAGATATTTGGGCATCAAAACAACCTCTTATAGTCATAATTTTGAGGTTGGCTCTAATTTGATTGTTTATAGCCTCGACTCTATATAAACTTTTCTCTTTATATATTTAGGAGAATTTAGGGGTGATATTACTAGGCGATAATATGAGATAAAATAGACTACGATGGGCTGAATAAGTAAACTAAGGTGGGCTAATTATATATGGCACTTACCTAATACATTACTTGTTAGGAGGTGCGAATTAGTTAAAGTAGAAAGATAAATAAAAAAAAAGAGTAAGCCCAAAAGGATATGGTCGGAAGTAATGAGAAAATATAAGGACTTATGGCCCAAGTGAGGGTGTAACCCTTAATATAACAACATACTAGAATTCTTGTAGCGACTCAAAGTAGTTGAGAAAGACTTTGATGATGAGAAGTTTCATTACCCAATGTGATGTATCACAATGTATATTTTATTTATATTGTTTTTTTTATATATCTCATTATATTCAAATTTTGGATATCAATATGTGTCACCTTCATGCACTTATAAAAAAATTAAAATATAATTAACTGAAATAAAAATAGGCAAACTACCACTCCAAATTTCATAAATTTTATTTTGATCATTTTATTTATTTTGAAATATTATTTAGTATTTTTTTTTCAAATTTGAGACGGTGTGAAGTATCAACTTACCAAATTTGAGCTCAATCTGATGTATAGAGAAAAATAAAATTAAAATTCAATATACATTATAAAATTTAAATTAAATATAAAATATATGAGATTATCTTTAAATTTTTATAATAAATAGTTTTTTTTTGTTGTTGTTCAATTCCCTTGAATAAATATGCCAATAAAAGGATGTACGCCACAATCTATGGCCATGGATGTACTCATTATCACTTATAATTCACCATTTCAATAAAATTAATCATAATAATGAATTATCTATTGTCTGGCCAATGTTTATTTTAAAGGTATTTGAGACCATTTACATATAAGTTTAACTTTTTGATAATTGTTTCACTGTATTCAAATTAATTTGTTGAAAGTCACATTTTTTTGACCAAAAATAACTAAAAGTAGCTCAAAACTTATCAAAGGAATATGATAATTAAATAATAGTATTGCATATAATACAAGACATGTACTAAAGAACTAACAAAATAATATTGTCCAGAACATATTAATTTCAAATTAAATACTCTATTTCAAATAAAAATAATTGTCATCCAAACAAGCCCCAATGGTCTATGCTAAATGGTATTCCAAGGTCACATCCACCGTCCTTTTGTTGATCGATGGTTATAGATGACCTTTGTATTCGTTAGGGTGTGTGGTTGATTATCCACCGTCTCACAACAAAACAGATATTGGATGTCCCAAGAGTATTATGTTTTTTGCCTATGTTAGGAATGAAACTCAAGACGTCACATTGTGTTAGAAAAAAATATATATATATTATTATTTTTAAGTAAAATGAGTACCCAAATATATAATCTATATATACTATATTATTAAGCAATAATTAAGGGGTTGACACATATCGTAATAATAAAAATAGACTATATACAGGCAAAAAGTTTATATAGAGCCGAGGCTCTAAACAATCAAACTTTAGCCTACAACAAAAATTTTCCTAAAAGAGATTGTTTTGATGCAGAAATATCTTCAAATTTATCATCTCGACATCAAGATGCATGAACATGAGAAAAAATAGATTCAAGTTTTAGAAATAGCAGATTTTGTAACGTATTTTTGGACCGTTAATTTTCAAGATTTTCAAACTTTTATAGATCTATCGATCTACACTATTTTTTAAGCTTTAAATTTTATAAATAAATATGAAAATATATTTTAAGGCTATTACAAAGATTTCCAGTATTGAAGCCACATTTCTTGACACTATTTGAAGGCAGGCTCTAATTTGATTGTTTCGAGCCTAGGCTCTATACAAATGGCACCCCATATTCGGAGAGATGGTAGGATAAGTGCTTTTCAAATAGGAAATAAGGATAAATTCCTAAAAATAATAGAAACTCCTAAATTTGATGGGGGAAAGAGAGATATGGTATGGGATAAGGCTCATGATGATGCGATTATATATGGTATGGAGAGAGAGAGAGAGAGAGAGAGGAGGGAGGGGGACGGGAAGGGTATAGAGAGAGAGGAGGATAGTAGGAGTAGTTGGTAGGAAGGGACGGGGTAGTAGAGGTAGGAGGTAGGTAGTACGTTTACGGTTGGGGTGGTAGGGTAAAGGGGTTTTAAAAACTTTTTAAAA